AATGGGACAAAGAGAAAAGAAATGCTTGTATGGCAAAACAAATGACACATTTTATATATATATACTTATTTCAAAAAAAAATTCAAGTTTAATTCAACTACATAATCATATAATTTAAAGCAATCACTATTTCTATATACAAAAAAAATGACACATTTCCTCAAACGTGAAATTAATCATTTATTATCACAGATTAATCAACGAAGAGAATGAAAAAAAAAAAAATAAATAAATGCTCTAAGAAACACTTGAAAATGAAAAATGTTTTATGATATACAAAGCCACATTTCACGAATTTGATGAAAAGTAGCGATTTTGTAGCAAAGCATAGACATTTCCTGAGATCTTTTGTGGCATTTAAACGTACGTAGGAAAATAATAATAATAATAATAATAACAATAATAATGAAATAATGGTGATTGATAGCAATGATAATGGCAATAGATTCAGTGCAGAAAAGATGAGGAAAGAAGAGGAGGAGGAGGAGGAAGAGGAGGAGGAGAGGGAGGAGTAGGGGGAGGAGGAGTAGGGGGAGGAGGAGTAGGGGGAGGAGGAGTAGGGGGAGGAGGAGGAGGAGGAGGAGGAGGAGGAGGAGGAGGAGGAGGAGGAGGAGGAGGAGGAGGAGGAGGAGGAGGAGGAGGAGGAGGAGGAAGAAGAAGAAGAGAAAGAGGAAGAGGAAGAGGAGGAGGAGGAGGAAACGGAAGAGGGAGAGGAGAGAGGAAGAGGAGGAGGAAGAGGAGGAGGAGGAGTTGGAGGAGGAGGAGGAGGAGGAGGAGGAGGAGGAGGAGGAGGAGGAGGAGGAGGAGGAGGAGGAGGAGGAGGAGGAGGAGGAGGAGGAGGAGGTGGAAGAGGAGGAAGAGGAAGAGGAAGAGGAAGAGGAAGAGGAAAGAGGAAGAGGAGGAGGAGGAGGAGGAGGAGGAGGAGGAGGAGGAGGAGGATGAGGAGGATGAGGAGGAGGAGGAGGAGGAGGAGGAAGAAGAAGAAGAAGAAGAGGAAGAGGAAGAGGAGGAGGAGGAGGAGGAGGAGGAGGAGGAGGAGGAGAGGAAGAGGAGAGGAGGAGAGAAAGAGGCGAGGAGAGGAGGAGGAGGAGAGGAGGAGGAGGAGAGGAGGAGAGGAGGAGGAGGAGGAGGAGGAGGAAGAGGAAGAGGAAGAGGAAGAGGAAGAGGAAGAGGAAGAGGAAGAGGAAGAGGAAGAGGAAGAGGAAGAGGAAAGAGGAGGAGGAGGACAAGAAGGAGAAGGAGAAGGAGAAGGAGAAGAAGAAGAGGAAGGAGAAGAAGAGGAAGGAGAAGAAGAAGAGGAAGGAGAAGAAGAAGAGGAAGGAGAAGAAGAAGAGGAAGAAGAAGAAAAGGACGAAGAAGAAGAAAAAAAGAAGAAGAAGAGGAAGAAAGCAGAAGTAGATGAAAATAAACTAAAAGCTAAAATGTACCAAACATATCCTGAAGTCGTAAGAGCAACCTTCCAGAACGCAGTGACGCCGCCATCAAAAGAAGCCCCTTGCTCCTCGCTCCGCTGACCTAACACACCACTAGTCTAACGCACACGATCCACCTTCTTTCGTCCACTTTTCCTGTCTACTTTCTCTGTCTACTTTCTCAGTCATTTTTCCCTTCGATCTGCTCCATCCATTAACTTTTTTCTCTTTACTTTTTTTTTTATTTTGTGCTCTCGCTTTCTTCCATCCACTTTCTCCATCTTCCGTCCACTTTTTCGCTCTACTTTCTCATCCACATTCCTCTTCCACTTTCTTCCACTCCACTTTCCCCCTCAGCTTCTTCATCCACACGTCCCTTCTACTTCCCCTATCTACTTCCTCCCCCACATATCCCTGCCTCTTCCCTCCAACTCCCTCCCTCCCCATCCACATTTGCCTTCCACTTATCCCCTGGTCCCGCCCCCCGCCGACACCCAGCCGCGTCACCACGCCGTCGGGGTCTTGTGGACCGCCCTCAGGTGCCTCTTGAGGATCTCCCGCTGGTTGAAGGAGAGCGGGCAGTGCGAGCAGTCGTAGGGCCTCTCGCCGGTGTGGGTCCTCTCGTGGCGCAGCACCTTGGAGGGCGTCGCGAACCACTTGCCGCAGAACTGGCAGGCGTACGCCCTCCGCCCGTCCCGCAGGTGCTGGAACTCGTGGCCGGAGACGTCCGCTTGCTGCTGCTGGTGTTGTTGCTGCTGCGGGTGTTGCTGGTGCAGTTGCTGTTGATGCGGGTGTTCCATGTGTTGGTGTTGCTGTTGGTGTTGTTGTTGGAGGTGTTGTTCTTGATGTTGCTGTTGCTGGCGGCCGAGCGAGGGGGCCCCACTCCCTCCCTGACCACCACTACCAACACTCCCTGGGCTCACCTACAATGGAGAGAAATCAAGACCATAAGCAATGATGTCCAATATGTTCGGGGAGGTTTTGCTGTGTCATGGTTTTGCTGTCTGAGTGTAAGGTAATCCTTAGGCAACATGTTTCGTCAGAACCCAGGCCGAGAACCCGAGCGGCAGTGGTGGCGAGTGCTAACCCTAGGCGAGGCGAGGCGGCCCTAGCCTGTGCAAGGAGGGGCGGCCCTCAGGGCGGGGGAACCGCCAAGAATTCCGGATGCTTCATCTTGATGTGGCGGTACACGTTGCCGCTCTGCGCGCTGCGGAAGGCGCAGTGCGGGCACGCGAAGGGCTTCTCCCCAGTGTGTGTGCGCAGGTGGCGCCCAAGGTCGACTGGACGCCCGAAGAAGCGGCCACAGTGGGGGCACGATTGGCCGCCCTCCGCGGCGCCCCGGTCCCTGATGGCCTCGTGCGGCGCGCGGGCGGGGGGCGCCAGCCGCGTCAGCAGGTGGGCCAGTGTGTTGGACGGGACCCCAGCCTGCAGGAGAGACAAGGCAGCCTTCAGTATGGACTTGACGCCAGCTCGCCGGCCGGACATTGTTTAAACCCTTAGCACTAACACAAGCACCCTTGACTGACACTACACACAAAGCTACAAATCCTCAAGACCTAGGTCCTCCCGCTGCGGGCGTTGCGACCCCGGGCGGCGCCTCGCCTCAGAGGGCCGAGTGCGGCGGCGGCGCAAGGCGGTCCAGGTGGCGCGCCTGCATGTGCTTGGTGACGTTGCCCTTGAGCGCGGCGCGGTAGGGGCAGAACATGCACGTAAAGGGCTTCTCCCCCGTGTGAGTGAGCAGGTGCTTCTTCAGGTTATATGCTCGGTTGAAGAGTCTACCACAAACTGAGCATGGGTGGTACTGGTTGGCGCCCCCGACTGGGTGGTCGCCTGCCCCGGCAACACTCCCCTCCAGTGGCACGCCCTCCGCCGCCGCCCTCACCTGCCGGGGAATACTGCGTCAGTCCCTTGAACACGTCCCAACAAGGCTCTTAGCGTAGCAAGCAACACACACCAGCTCGAGCATGAACCAACTGCTGTGTCTTCTATAACTCTACATACCATGGACACAATAAACACTGTCACGTCGACCTCAATGTACCTTTCTCAAGAAAATGTAGAAAAAAACAAGTCTGTTTCTAACAAAGCCACACACTTCATAAACATAGTTGGAACTGACAATTCAACCCATGACATCCGACCACAAGTGTCCAAGTTTTCTTCAGTCTCCCCTCCCGTTTCCTCCTCTAAATTAACTGCGTATTCGCGTTGAAATTCAAAAACAATACATCATTGTGTAGTGACCCCAAGCCAGAGACCCTCCAAGGGAAGCCCCAAAAATACCTAAGTTTCCCTTGGAGTGAACAAGTTAAGTTCCCCAAGCCAAACCAGGGAACCGAAAATCTGGCAGACTTTTTTCTCACCAAATTTTATTAACTGTTTTTTTTATAATCATTTTAAATTAATATGAAAAACATATTCTTTATTTCATGTATTTTAACAGCACTTTTTACCAATATCTTTTAGTACTTAGTTTTATAGTTATTTTAAGGGGGTTGAGACACGAGTATCAGTGCCAAGAAGTGTAATATCAGTGAACAATGATAATGCTAGTGTTTGAGTCATTAGTGACAAGCCTCAACCAGTAACATTAAGTGACTGAAATTAAGCAGTGTTATTGTGGTTGATAATGTATATGCAAATTCTAATCTCGTGCATATTCTAGACGAGGCTGACCTAGGTGAATCCATGGCTTTGGGCGATCTTACAAATGACTTCCATGAGTATTTCAGTATTGATTATTTTGGTCACACAACTGACGATTTTGACGTGTTTCCCCAGTAAGCATAGACGTGTGTAAAGTGAAAATTCCTACCAGTGTGGAGGGGATCATCCCAACAGAGAACTTGGAACATCTAGGATCAGTGAGAAGGGAAAGGTTGATCCAGATCCTGGAGAGGTATAGTGGTTTGTTTGATGAAGATGCCCCTCTTGGTTGTGTACCCAATATTAATCACAACGATATAACTTCAGGTGAAGGACCAATATGGATACTATAATGGAGAATACGGCAGGAGTACGAGGCAATGTTGCATGAGGGAATTATTGAACCATCAACCTCACTTATGGTCTTAGTACAAAATCACATGAGCTGAAACCTATCCAATGTCCAGGCTCCATAAGACAATTGACAAGTTAGCAGGTACCCACTGGTTTATGGCATTAGATGCCAAATCCGCCTACTGGATGGTAAAAGTAAATTAAAGTGATCACCAGAAGACAACATTTTCTGATGGCTGCCATCTGTACCAATATAAAAGAATGCCTTTTGGTCTAGCAACTGCATCTTACATCCCATTTTAGGAAGACACACGCTTGCTTTCATGATGTCATTGGGGCCTCTGGAAGCTTTGAAGAGCATCTTGACCATCTGGATGAAATGATGGGTTTGTTGGCAAAAGCTGGTTTCAGGTTGAACCTAAAGAAATGTAAATTTGCTGTGAATACTTTTAAACTTTTGGGTCATCTTATGGCTCCAAATGGTGTACTTCTAGAGAGAGTTAAGGTAATCACACAAATGACAGCGCCACGTAACTTGAAGCAGCTCTGACAATTTTTGGGAGCCACTGTTTTCTTTTGGAAGCATGTGAAGGATTCCACATCCTTGGTTGCTCCATAACAGCTTGCTGAAGAAACAGGCCAAATTTCATTAGGGTCTGGAACAGCAAACTGCTCTTGAACCTTTAAAAGACGAATTGGCTTCTGATCCAATCTTGAAACAGCCAGATTTCAACTGTCCATTTGCTTCTGGTGTATTTGCACATATTTGAAGAGAGGACGAAGTCTCTAAGAATTAATCTTTTTACAATTACACGACCTATAAACCTGGTACATCACATGTATCTGATCTCTTCAGTAGTAAGATATCCCCTACTGATAAAGTCTTGAACCCACAGACAGATGCCGCCGCTCAACGAAATCCTCTTTGGAAAGAAATTTGTGAATACTTGCAAGAACACTGGATAGCTAGGCATTCAAACTACATGATGATGACCTACACCATCTTAGGGTTTGTTTGTTTGTTTCAAAGAACGCAAGGCTTTTTTTGTATTCATGGATTGCCGCGCCATCTGAGGGGGGGAGGGAGAGAATTGTCGGCTCGTTTCTGGGCTAGCTACGAGTACCATTCCGAAAGTCTTTGCCGGGGGGGCGGGGGAGTATGTATATATCCCAGCGAAGCAAACGAAAAAGAGAGGGGGTAGGCTAGTCCGATGTAGACCCAGTGGAAGAGAGAGTGATTTTTTTGTGTGTGTTTTTAAGCCGGTCGTAACGGCGGTAAGATGGGATTTTAAAGTTTTTTTTTATATTTATAATATAAAACAGAGTGCTGCGTGTATTTTTTTTCGTAATTTTTTGTTTATGTTTTTTTTATCGTTCGTTTTTAGAGGTTGTCAAGTTCTAGTGTTTTGTATTTTATTGTCACTTTTATTTTAATTTCTTAAAGATTTTGATTAATATTTTGATGTATGTTCTTCAGTCGTATTTAATAATCAATTAATGTATATAACTATGGCATCGTGAGTGAAATTCCATAGTTTCTCAAATTAAACCTTCTTACACTACAAGACATACGATTCCATAACTTGGCAAACCTGTGGCAAAAGCAACCGATCACCTTCCATGAAACCATTGGATTTAACTCGCATACCAGACGAAAACCCTTGTGTATTGAGTCATTTCTTTTTTCTTTCCGTATACCTACACTTTCCTTTTTAGTTTTTTTTCAGCCTTTCTAAAGGTCTCCTCCTTTCTGCACAAATATTGTTCCTGGACGTATTAACCGGGTGGAGGCAGCGACAAATGACCTAATTAACAAGGGTGAAGATGTAGTCCGAATCACTACAACTGCATTGTGTGTATATTAATAGACGTGTTTGTCTGTGTCTATATCTGTAAGCATGAATGTTTGTTTATGCAGACATTAGCATATGTATATAACTGTTTAAATATTAATATCACTATTAAATCCAATGCAAATGCAGGGTTTTACAATATGTATAAAAAATATACACATGAGGAGATATGTGTACATATGCACTTTGTCTATGAAAGAACAAAGTTAACCATCCTGAAATAAAACTCTTTCAACTGCTTTTCTTCCAATCTGAATATTTTTCTATATAAAAACACACGTAGCCCACCATCTTCCCTTCAAAACTCGTGTCACACGAAAAAAAACCGCTAGAAATGTGAAAGATTTAACTCCAATTACAAAGCTTCTCTGAGAACCAATTGATTTTCTTTTCAAATCACTATTTATGAAGAAATGCCATCTATTCTGATTCCCTCTCCTCATATCTTGTTTCTAACCTCCTGTGAACCATTCCCTGTTTCTTTTTTCTCTCTCACCATCATCTGTAATGACGTAATTTCAAAATGAAAAACACGAAACTTCCATGCTATCTTTATTAAGCTATATCGTACAACGAAATATCAACAATCATACCGAAAATTTGTATTCAATAGTATCAATTTAATCAAGATATTATGATTAAACTGACATGCTTCTAACACGTTGTTTGAATAACAGAGAGAGAAAAAAAGAAAGCTACGTGTAAGTACATAGGGGAAAAACCTGATATATGTATATGATATAAAAAACAGAATTGCAATGTTGTAATTCCACTCGCAAATTACGTACATTGATCACATTTGGTACTGATCGTTGTGGAGAACACCAGTCTGTCTGTCACATTATTAACGCATTAGCCACACGGGCAATGGTAGGATAAACAAAATAAAAATGTTTCATGTTGAGGGCTCAAAGTAAAAGAAAGATCCGACCACAATGCAACGTTCTTTCCACTTTCTTTCTTACAGAGATCAGACTCCAAGTGCTGTCTTATCACAAAGTTTTTTTTTTCTTAACAACATGTAACCATTCACAGATATATATAAAGAACAGACCCAAGAGGAAAGAGAACCACATGAGTCTCGCCCCTTTCACGGAGAACCTCAAGGAGGACAGGGCCCTCGGCATGCCCCTCGGCATGCCCCTCGGCACGCCCTACGGCCTGTCCTTCTGTTGGTGTGGGTGCCACTTCCTGAGGTGCGTGAGCAGCGTGTCCTTGCGGCTCGAGCGGTAGGGGCAGTGCAGGCAGGCGAAGGGCTTCTCGCCCGTGTGCGTGTAGATGTGGTGCTCGAGGTGCTGGCGGCGGTTCTTCCCGGCGAAGGCCCTCCGGCAGAGCGGGCAGATAAGGGAGGGGGGCTTGCTGGCGGCGGGGTCTCCCCCCCCTAGGGATGCGGCGGGGGCGGCACTCGGCTCCTGCAACACACCCAAGACAGTCCTTAGCACCTGTGCCAGTTCACCTGGGCCACTCACACATCTCCAACATGTACATGTGTCTGTCCTCTGAGGCAAGTGCAAGGATTTGGATCAGTGAATATCATGCAACATTAAATGCCTTGGGAGCGAGACCTCTCTCCTCTCAGCTTTATTTATATTTGGTGGGGGGGGGGGGACTCCTAAATGTACGGATGTTTCTCTACGACTCGTCATACAGTACCGGTCCAAGTGCACGGGTTACAGGGCGGGCCGAGCGTCATGGGCGTGGGCGGCGACGGGCGGCGCGTCCCGGGTCGCAGCCTCCCTTTGCTGCGCAGCCTCAAGCAGCGGCGCGCCGTGGTCGAAGATCACGAGGTCCCTCAGGACCCTGGGTCCGCTGGTCCGAGCCCTCCCCTGTGGCTCCCGCAGGCCCGTCTCCCTCGCGCCCCCGGGGGCGGCGTCGCGGGGCAGGAGGTCGCGGTGCATCCTGGCCACGTGGATCTTGAGCGTGTCCTGGCGCGACGAGCGGAACGGGCAGTGGGGGCAAGGGTAGGGCTTGTGGCCCGTGTGCGTCGCGATGTGCCGCTCCAGGATCTGGCGGCGGTTGCGGCCTCCAAAGGACTTGCCGCACACGGGGCACACCAGCGCTGCCACGTCGCCCAGCCGCACAGCCAAGCCCTGCAAAACACAGCCACGCTCAGCCTCAACCTCCTTCACTCCAGGACGCAAGCAGACCTGGTTTCACTTAACAGCAAGAAAAGGGCTTGCGCCAATCCTACTTCACAACAAGGCCACACACAAGAGCTAGTCTGACTGCCTTTCCTCTGCCTTCTGCTGACTGACCTCCCCTGAATAACACTCTTTGCTCTGCGTCACCTTTACGGTTGTTACAACTGCAATTCCCTCTAAATATCAGGTAATATAAAGTTTTAAAACATTCATGTCAGTTCCCCTTCAGCACTACTATGCTCAATCTGCCACAGTGAACCAGACCTCGAGAATGATCCAGCACGGCAAACACCATACCCCATTAACGCCTTCACAAAATCACTGAAAAAAAGTTCAATTTGTTTCACCAAATCAAGACTTTAAAGAACATTAGGGAATTGAATTCGCGTCTCGGCCTCGTCTTGGCCGCACCTGCTTCAGCGTCGCCGCTCGAAGGGACGCCGGACGCCCCTCGAGACGCTCGCTTTGACCTCGCTTGACCTTCGCCTCGCACGCCGCGCCCTCGCCTCTTATCATCTCTGGCCGACAGCGCCCTCGAAGCCCTCCCTGGTGTAGTGCTGCTGCAGGGGCGCGCTCGCCACGTGCTCCCCTTCGGCGCCCCTGCCGACCACACCCTGACCCTGGCCGTTGGTCACGGGCCCGGCGGCCTGCGGGATGCCTGACCGCCCCGGATGCGCCTGGCTGCCCGGGAGCGCCTGGCTGCCTGGGTGCGCCTGGCTGCCTGGGTGCGCCTGGCTGCCTGGGTGCGCCTGGCTCCCCAGGGCGCCGCCGTAAATACGCTGGCTGTTGTCCCCCGCCTGCGCCTGCGCCTGCGGGCCCTGGTGGATGTTCCTGATATGACGCCGCAGGTTGGACAGCTGGTTGGCACGGTAATTGCAGTGCGCGCAGTTGTAGGGCCGCTCCCCCGTGTGCACAATGACGTGGCGCTCGTACAGCTGGTGGCGTCCGGGCCCGATGAAGGTCTTGGGGCAGTTCGGGCACGCGAGAATCACGGGCGTTCGCGCAGAGGCGCCTCCCTGAGCCCCGGCGCCCTCCTGGTGCGGGGCAGCAGCTCTACCCTGCAACAGACAAGGCGGCTCTAACTCCAGCTCACAAGCCCCGCTTCCGGGCGCGAGACAACAAGGCCTGGCGACCTTCCCGCGGGGGGATGCGCGCGCACCTCGACTCCTTTTACTTTCTTTAATACTAAATCTACACCAACGGGATGCTGAGTGAATGGCATTACTGGTATATCAAGAACGAGTCATGCGACCCATGAAAAAAGTCTTATGACATGCAAAGTGAGTGTGAAAAAGCATCTAAATAGTATCAGACTTTCAGGCTTTATTAACCACCCTTTCTCCAACCGGAAGCTGAAATCCGTCGTGTGGTTAAATGACAATCCAGAAACCATTATCATTCTTTATTCACATTTGCCATGTACAAGGGAGCCAAGACAAACACGGCTCGCGAGTGCCAGACCAGTAATTAAGTTGATTAGGTTAGATTGACAATTAACAAGCAATTCCTAACAAGAAATCGATCTTTCAATAACCTCCCCCCCCCCATAATCCTCTTCAAAGACAACATAAACAACATTAAGTTAACGACTCGGGAGTTAAAATCAACCAATTCGCTTGTGTCCAAACCATGTCCCTTTAAATCATTTATTATCTTATTTTTTTCCTTTTTTTTTAATTGGTATTTTGCAAACGACTTTAATAACTGCCTTTGCTAAATAGGCCTTGGTTCAGAGCGAAAAGATTTAAAACCTATTTCTTTATGAGCATATTGTCAGTACCCAGGCGCGGCGAAACTCAAACTGCCAAGAACCAAATTACTCTTTAATCTTTCTCATAACAAGTCATTCACACTCATTCAACAACCATTTACAAATCTACATACTTCACATACTCCTGCATCTGCACCACTGAGTTTCATACCCACCCATTCACATACTAAAAGCTCTCAACACTCGACACTTGACGTCCATTATAAATATACATATACATACACACATATATATTTATACTTATATATACACCTATCTGTACATAAATATGTATGTATGTAACAATGTATGCATGTATGTATGTGTACATATACACTTATAAATGTGTATGTGTGTGTACATAAATGAATGAATGAATGAATGTATATATGCCTGTTTGTATGTATATAAATGCATATTGATATATGTACATATACATATATATAACATATACATATATACATATATATTATATACATATATATACAATATATTATATACATATATATACAATATATTATATACGTGTGTGTGTGTGTGTGTGTGTGTGTGTGTGTGTGTGTGTGTGTGTGTGTGTGTGTGTGTGTGTGTGTGTGTGTGTGTGTGTGTGTGTGTGTGTGTCTGTGAGTGTGTCTGTGAGTGTGTATGTATGTATGTATGTATGTATGTATGTATGTATGTGTGTATGTGTATGTATGTCTATTTCTATGTCTATGTCTATATATGTGTATGTATACGTATACGGACACGGGTATGGATATACATATACATATGCATACAATTCCATACAAATATACACATATCCACATACACACACACACATACAAACATACATCAATATACATTTGCACACCGTACTTACAGAAACATACCAACAACCTGCACATGCCTATCACATGACATAAGAACCACAACAGAACACAGATACAGAACACAGACTCAAGATACACTATCACCCACACTTTTTTTTTTTCTATTATTTTTTATAGTACATCGAGATCACTGCCAACGAACTGATCCAGAACTTGTGCCATGACGGAACGCGTTTTCATGGAACAAAACCCCGAGATGCATTTTGTACAATAAAATGTCACCTTTTTTTTGGTTTTCTGTTTGTTTGTTTGTTTGTTTGTTTTTACGTAATGTATCACGTTTGTTAACAAGTGTATTTTTTTGTGACAGAATAAGTGGAGTTTTCTTTTTCTTTTCCTTTTTGTTTTTTTTTGTTTTTTTGGAAGAGTGATGATGATTAAAATTGAGCTTTGTCTTTCTTACATTATAATTCAATCATTAATCTTCATTCATTCCAGGATTATTATCATAAGTCAAGGATAAAAAGAAACCGTAGAGACAAATGAATAAATAATAATAATAATAATTTAAAAATCGATATACAAAAAGATGGCAAGAAATATCATCATAAATAATCAATGAAAATAAATAAAATGTTCAATACCATAAAAAAAACGTATAAACAGAAAGTTCTAGTTTTATTTAAATCTCGCCAGGGTATCAAATAAAATATTTAGTTATTGCAACCTGCCCTTGCAAGTCGATACCTAGTTTATTGTATTTTGTTGTCTTTATTGCACACCATAAAAAATCAATAAGCGTAGGAAACAACATACATAAATAGAACTAATTGTATGATTTATCAATTCCTTCTTTGTTTTCTGTTTGTCTGCTCGTTGTTGTTTTTTTTGTCTTTTTTTTTACCTTGGAATCTCAAATTATCACCAGTTTTTGAGCAACAAGTGAAAGATCAATTAATCTTAAAAAAAAAAAAAAAATCTTTGCTAAATTTACCTTCAATATTATCACTTCACTAAATCTATCTTCATCTTTATTATTTTACAACTTCAAATGTACCTTCGCTTCATAACACTAAAGTCACCTCCTATTTTCCAGCTTGACTGAAAAAAAAAAGATTGACCTACATTTAAGTCATATCTCTCTTGAAGTCATACACGTTATCAAGACATACATTTAGGTAAAAAAGTTTTTTTTTAAGTTATGCGTGAGTTTCAATACTTACACAACCGCGCACAAAGCACAGGCACGCAAAATAGATAGATTTTGTCCTAACGCTCTCACTCTCGCTCTTGCTCTTGCTCTCGCTCTCGCTCTCGCTCTCGCTCTCGCTCTCGCTCTCGCTCTCGCTCTTGCTCTTGCTCTTGCTCTTGCTCTTGCTCTTGCTCTTGCTCTTGCTCTTGCTCTTGCTCTTGCTCTTGCTCTCGCTCTCGCTCTCGCTCTCGCTCTCGCTCTCACTCTCACTCTCGCTCTCTCTATATATATACATATACATATACATATGCAAATACATATAATATAATATATATAAAGA